GACACTAAACTGGGGACATACACTGATTTGGGGGGGTCAATTGTAGTTTGCTTTCGGGAAATTACTGATAATAACTCGATTCCACAGTCCATCACCATTGTCACATTCATGTCCTCAGAATAGCCCTCTGGAAAACTTATATAAAGTACTTACGTTTCGGTCCATGGAAACGTAGTTGGTGGTCGGTGCTCCTGAGTGCCGAGTGCAGTACTGGTTAGTGAGGGTGGTGTTCGTCACGAGATCGCGTCTCGGGGCGTAGTCATCGATGTTGTTTACTTGAGGCACGGTTCTAAAATAAAGGATACAAACATATTACTAGTACCTGATGATGTTTCGGAATCAATCCAACCAGGAACCTAATGTTGCTCACAATTCTATCTACCCTATGGAATATCGAATGAAGAAACTGTATTCTAAAATTGAGAGTTATACAACATACAAAAGATAAAGAGGCACAGTTCTGAAATAAAGGTTACAGACGACGAGTGCATGAATATAACGGGACTGCAATACACGCGGAACAGAGGCAGCTGTTGCTGGTGTTGTGTACAGCACATAATAACAAATACTGGACAGACAATACTCATTTTCACTTGAGTCTAGTGGGGAAAGTCGTGTTAAGTGCCTTTCCCAAGGGCACAAGATCGGTGGCATGTCAGGACTCGAACTCGGGACCTCTTGATTCCGAGTCGCGCACGCTGCCGTTGCGCCACACGACCCCACTAACGGGACTTACAGGCATTGCGCCGGAGGGTCTAACACCAGCACGCGGTGCCGTCTCTGGTCTATCAACCAGACGTCGCCGCCCGCATCTTTCACCACCCCAGGCCGGACGGCGAGGTGGTCCACGTGGATGGCCGTGAGAGTCGGCGGGGTGACGTCCACCGTGACGCCGTCAGAACACACCGGTGCGGACGGGTCCAGCGCGTGGTTGTAGGCCACCACTGTGCAGAAGTAGGTCCCGGGGGATGGTGCCGTGTAGACAGCGTTCGTGTCTGTTGTCCTGGTTATCTGCGATTCAGTTTGAATTCATTCAACGTAGGCTGGTGCAACGATGAACATTGGAACATTGTCCAGTTACAGTTCGGATTAAGTGCTGAGATTAGGCGATTAGAATATCGCTAATTATTCCAAAAATTGTCTGATGTTTTCAATAGTGTAAAAATCAAAAGTTACTGAAGTGTTAATATACACGTATTTAGTTATGTTATAACGTTAAACATATGAGTACTTACAGACGCTCCCTTCGGTAGTTGGAGATCAGCTGCATCCAAGCAGCTGGTAGAATAGCCATACAGGTAGAACTTCACGCCGCTCTCTTCGTCAAAGAAGCCGTCCCACCAGGTCTTAATCGCTGTCGTTTGCTGATAGTCTATCTCTGCCTGCCCCTCTAGACCGTCATGCACAGTACCGGGAAGAGGCGGGGATGTGTCCACTGTTATCTGGAACAAGAGAACAATAAAACAGGTTTGCGTAGAACTAGATATAAATCGAAGCTAGTGATAACTTAACATGGGTTTGCATACTCTGCAAGCTGTTTTCAAAGAGTTACAATACCGCTCGTCTTTCGCCATATCCAAAACCAGAAAAGTGATGCGCATTCACTGTGTCATCAGGTTCGTGATGCGCATTCACTGTGTCATTAGGTTCGTGGAATAAGGTCAGATGTCGCCAAACAAGTTCAGAGGTCACGGGCCGGCTTCGGAGAGGAGAGAACTCTTGTCATCTTGGTTGAGGTGTCAACGCTTTTAGGCTTCCAAGGGCCAACATTTGTGACACCCTGGATCTGAATATGGTTTGTAGTATTTTTGAGTGTCATTTGATGTTTGTTAGATAGATGAAACGCTTGCTCCAGTGTTTAGAACGGGACAAGAGCGCCCCCCTCCCACTACGAAGCCGTAGCATTTTCTCATCGCGGTCGTACTTTTGCATGCGTAATGTCTATCTCTTTGACGTTGTCCTTTATTTCTTTAACAGGAGAAGAGCAACTGTTGCAGACGACAAAGATGGTCAAGTGTCGACAGATGACGGAACGGGGTAACTACTGAGGTAAGTGGGCGGGCAGTACGTAGCTTGACCCAGTCTTTTACTTTTAGTTTAGTAGCATGATTTCTTTGAATAACTTTGGATCCAGAGGAATTTATTTCGATAAAATAATCCTGGTATTTTCATAGATAGACGGTAAATTGGTTCAGCAGTCAATTGCAAGGGGCATAGCACTGTCCTTTTCTGTATTAAAGGTGCATGATAAAAAAGTGTATCGGATTCCAACTCGTGTAAATTCGCTGCCGGCAACCCCGCTGAGTCAAATGTAAACAATAGTCGGCACATTATCCGTCAAGCGCTATTTTAAATCGGGCCGCCCTAAATATTATACTACGCAGTTCCTAAGTAGGTAAAGGGTAATTTTGTTGAAATTAGAATAAAAATCTACCTTAGGAACCATTCATTAACATGAAAATAAGATAACGTTACAAGAATTTAGCGCATATTTTGGACTCCCATTCTGCACCAGTAACATGGAACAGTCTAGTCAAGGAGGTCTAAATCTAATCTATTTGTGTTGTGCTGAGAGTTGCATTGTTCCTGACAGTGAGTGTTATGATGCAAACAAAAAACCCAACAACTACTTAAGTACGAACTATTTTTCATTTTGATTCATGCAGGACATTTTTCAACATCTCTAAGAATAGTTTTTAACCAAATAAACAGTTAAATCCCGTGCAACGACAAGCGAAAGTAGTAAGTTACAATCAGTGTACAAAATACTTTTTTGAACCAGGTTGCCCAGTGGGCAACCTATGGCCAAAATTAGGTTGCCCATCAGAATTTTAGGTTGCCCCATCTATAAGTTAGTACTTTCCTCAAATTAAGTAATGTTACATACATAAGCATTTGACAATATTTCTAACAGCCTTTAGTTAACTGGTACTAGTAATAGCCATTAATACCTAAAATTAAAAAGCATCTGCTGGATACAGTGGTGTAAGCCAAGTGGGCATGATTTTTTTTTGTGGGGGGGGGGGCATTAAAAAAATTCAGGTGGGCTGCCTAGGTTAAAAAATAGGTTGCCCCAAGTAAAATTTGGTCAACCAGGTATTTTGCATGCTGTACAATGTACCTTCAGTGTTTGTGTGGTGCTGAGAGTTGCCTTGTTCCTGACAGTCAGTGTCACCAGGTAGTCATGATCATGTCCACCCACATCCACCTGGCTACGGTCAAAGGTAATGACGTAATCCTTTTTGTAGCAGGGTCCCTTTGCAGTCTGTACACAGTTTGTGGTACAGGTGGCTCCACACTGAAAAACAAAACAAAGTAAACAGACATATTTTAAGACATCATCATCATCATCTTAGGTACTGCTCATCCCTCTAAGAAGAGGATTATTAGCAGCTGCGCGGATTAGTGACTGTGTGCAAACAAAGGGTAGGGTAGGGGGTAGGGGTGGACGTGGACAAGTGCAAGGACAGGACAAGTGAAATCAATGGTGCTAGTATTACACATATTTACATATGTACAAGGACAGGGAGGCAGCTCAATGCAGCGAAGCCCGTCCCAACTCTGCTTTGAACTGGGAGATGGACTTTGCCTCCGCCACACTGGGCTCAAGTTCATTCCACTCGTTTTGCATATGTTTACCAGAAATTACAATGAGTTATGTAGATTTATGCTGTTGATTAATATGTAAAAGACATACACATAGAACGTGCAAACCTATTTTAGATAAGAGAGTGGAAAACATTAAACATGAAAGGGTATTCACTATTAGATCTATCAAAACACATCACTTTTTATGTTGTAAAGAAATTTACTTACGGTTAGTTGTTGTACAGCTACTACTCCTGACGCTATTTGGGCTGACGTTTTAAAGTCAGCCAATGTCCAGGTTATGTCATGCAGTCCGCTATGCTGGTCAAATGCATCAAACTGAACTCTGTTGTATAACAAATCACAAAGGAAAGTGTCAGGTTGGGAGATAAAAAAAAAACTTCTTTAAGTTGTTGTCATAATACAAGCATTTATTGACTTTTGACAGAATTACATGCAACCTTTCCTATTTTTAAAATCGATAAAAATAGGGTGGCCTTTTATAACTCAATGTTATAGATAAGTTTGTCTAATGTGTACCCCATGTGTTTTTTCATTCAATACATGTACATGGTATGATGGAATACTACATTTCACATTGCTATGACATGGTTTCTCTTTTGTATAGCATTATGTACATACTAGTATTGACTTAGATAAACAGATACAGAGTCGAAGCATGATAGAAGCACGTTGAAAATTTCTCTACTTGTCCCAGGGAGCGTTGTTTAGTTCTTACATGACTTCATTAGTCTTTTCCTTTCTTCGTTTCAGCGAGGGAATTGATTCATCTTCAACTTTGTCTTTGCAGGCAGGACACATTCTCTTTTCAGCTGGTATATTTTTGTGACGACCCGTCTCGATTTCTAAGCAATGTGCACCAAGTCTCAGTCTTGTTATACTAGTTGTAAATGATTTGTTTTGAATCACCGAAAGGTAATTCTCCATGGTAAAGGTTTTAGTAGGTGGTTGTATAACTATAAGAATGCTGGGTGAGAGCGCAGCAGAATTGGTAATTATATGCTGGACCAGTAATCATTCAGGAATGTTGACTGGATAATTGCTACAAGCAATGAGGATGACACCCAGTCAGCCTGGCTATTGCTCACAGTTAGGTGCACAAAGAAATTATAATTAATGACCGGAAATATTTTTCGGATTGAAAAACTTGCCAAGAAATGGAGTAAAATGTGCAAAATCGCGCCAATAATTGACCTGTCTTGTCCAGCGAGTATGACTCAACAGTGCTTGAAGCCTTTACACCTCAGGCGCTGACCTATGGGCCACTTAAACCATGCCTCTTTGTTATTCTTCATTAAAATATTTTCTTTCATCAACACCTATGCACGCACATCCTTAGAAGGAGAATATGAGTCTTAGGGAGCATTATTCTTGGCTTATTTTGTCTTGAAATGTTTTGAGATGTTTTGCAGGACTGGTGGTGTTGACGACTGCTTTAACTCAGTCCCTACAAACAATTGATGTCAAAGATATTATCTATCTGTCTTTCCTTCAATCCCTGCTCAGTCTCTTTTTCAGTAGACTTTCCTGTCAATCCCTCATGCTGTAACATTTTTTTTGGGGGGAGCACACTGCAGTACCACTACCAGTATATCTGTCTGTGCAATGACATGGACATTAAGATGGAGCTACTAAACTTAAAAACCATGATGACAACACTATGGCAAACATATATATATATAAATAACTTGTACAGGTAGATGGCGTGGATAATTAGAGGAAGTAAAACTGGTTCCTATATTGAGTATGTTCTATCTGCAGATCTAGACTATCTATCTGTACCCAATTGGCTATGAGAGTTATCACCTGCTGCACAAAGATGAAGAAGAAAACCTTTAGTTTTACCATGCCTTAATCCACCAAGAAAAGATAACAAGTTGAACACTTTCATAAGACAATTACTTACTGCATTTCATACAGCTCCACAGAGTTGTGCACGACAATGTTGGTTTCGTCTCCACTCGCCAGCCACATGTTTTCAATGACCGGTGCCGAGGAGTCGATGTGTGCTGTGATGCTGTCTGTGATCTCGTTCCCCATGATGTCACTCGCCTTGACCCATAACTTCACGGTATCTCCGTCCACCTTACTCGCGGTTGAACTGAACTGTGTATTGAGGTCTCCTGCGGACCAGCCACTGCTAGGTGCAGTGGTCATGGTTGAGCCACCTGCATGGTCTTTAGTATAGGCTACTTTGAACTGTGTGACTCCCAGGGCATTGGGAATGGCGTTCTTGTTACGCGTACCCGTCGTTTGGTCGTAGTCAGCGTCTATTCCAGCTTGAAAGTTTGCGATTGGGTTCAGGAGCTTGTTCTGGTGGTGGTACCGATTGATGAAATGGCCGGTCCAGGTGGCTGTCACCGTGCAATCTGTGCAATGCAGCCAGTTGTCTCCATTCCCAGCAACAGTGTTAGCAATGGCGAGTGGGTAGTGCGAGTCCAGTTCCACGGTGTTGGCGTTGTCAAACAGGACGAAGCGCCTGGTACGTCTGTAGTTGGTTGCGACGTCGTCCACCGTTAGTATGACTGAGTACACGCCTGCATGGGTCAGGGTGATGGTGGGGTGCTGGATGCTGCTTGCTTGGATGGTGCCATGAGCAACTGTAGTGTGAGGCTCTGTGAGGGTTTCGCCGACAGCCACTAACATGTAGACACTGTACTCATATTTTGTGACTCCACTCAAAGCATCCGTCCATCCTGAGAACTGCAGCGTAATTTGATTCTGAAATCACAAGAATGTAAGATAAAGAGTTAATCAATTAGTTGTAGATTTTTAGCCACAAAATAACCAAAATACATTTGCAATCGAAAAGTAATTTTATTGTGGGGTTGCTTTAAGTTGTAAGTTGGAATATATTTTTCTTTAAATAGTTAACTTGTGCTGTTGATGTGCATTTTATTCAACTGTAACACAAATCAATACAATGAACTGATGAACTGTCGTACCTGTTTGCTAACGGAGTCACCGATGTTGAGTTGTGTTCCAGTGCATGTTGGTGCGACGTAATCGAAAACAAACTCCGCTGTGTTAGAACTTGTCGAAACCCCGGAGTAGTAGGACTTCTCAAGTCTATTGGAAGCATCTCTGTTTATTATGTTGATGTAGCCGCCATTTGTGAAATCCCCCTGAATTTGGAGCCTGATGGTAGATAATATAACAGAAGATGGATTGGTGCCAAAAAAATACAGTGAACTGTCACTGTAATTACGAATTACCTGGATGAAGGCCTGGCTATTACCTCATGTCGTATTAGCCACACGATGATTAACATCATCACCCCTTTTTTACTAGTATATGCACGAGTTGTAGCAAAGCTGCATTGCACAAGTATAGCTAATAGAAAAAGCATGATATTTGCACAAATGTATCACAACAATGGCAGTACTTACTTATCTCCATGCGAGAATGTTGTAGAAATGTGCATGTTCTCTTCGCAGTTCATCTGTATGGGGTTATCACGACTGGCTGCTGAGCTACAGGTTCCTCTGTCATTGCTGCGCACATTGCCATCTGTGATATGCGCGAAAAGAAACATTTCAAGTTGTTGGGAAACTTTAAGATATCTAATGTAAGATACATTGATATTTCTTAATTCTTGCAAAGTTGATATTATATGTGTCCAATTTTAAAAAAGTACAAATACAGCAGCTACATTTAATTGTTTCTGACATTATAAATAATTTTTCTGGTCTTGTTTTTGCCTTTCTTCTCCTTGACGGGACATTACATATTTAATGGCTTGCAAAGAAGCTCATCAAACAACCAATTACTGATTGCTGTTGTTCTTTTGATTTTGTCTCTTAAACATACTCCAACAAGAGAGAGATCTAATAAAATTGCCTGTGCTTATTTTTCCAGAAGTCCAGAACAATCAATTATGACAGAAAATGAAGTTACAGAACTCTGAAAGAACAACAAATAGTCTCACTTGTGACTTGTTTAACACTATAGCCTGCTGCAATCAGCCCCAAACCATGGTTATGCACATAGCCTGGCCTGGCTGGAACACTGGGGGTGAAGTGGCCTCTCCATGTTAGCGTCAGACTGGTCGGACGCATGTTGGTGTATTTTACACTGTTGTCTAGACAGTTGGTGTCAACGCGATCGTGGTTTTTGGTCAACGCTGCTAAGCAGTACATGATGTCCGATGCAGCGGTAACTGGAAAGGAAAAGGTTCTCAGTTTTTTTGTTTAACTTCGCAGAAGTAAAGTTAACATATTGTTTTCGCTCAGTTTCATCTTCTTCCACTTCTTCTTCTCTAGACATATTAAACCATCAATATTTCCACAACTACAGGTTTGAAAAGCTTCAAATTTGACAAACTGGTAGGACAGTACATAAGACATTGAACCATGGTCATTTTGTTTCACATAGATGGAACTAAGATTCGCACGCTCACTTTCTAACTCTGAGAAGTTGATTTTAATATGTCTGGAATTTTATATTAAATGATCGTACCTTCCTGTTTTAATCTATGTGATAAGAATTTTGTATTATGTTGTCAATGAGTCTAGATGAATGAATTGTTAAAGAACAACAATTCAGCCTTCGTAAGGCTGCCAGTGTTTTTATCTCAATAAACCATTTCATCATCATCATCATCATCACCAGTCTACAGACCCAGAGGCAGGTGGGGAGACCATTTGAGTGCAGACCTGAGCACCATGGGCCTCCATGTAGCCACAGCCTGGCAGAGGGCACAGGACAGAACTGGCTGGAAGACAACTTGGCGAGGTGCTACGCTCTCAGGAGTGATTGAGAGAGTGAGTACTGTACTTACTTGTCCTGCAGTGAGCGCCACCGAATCCCGTAGCACATGTGCATGTGGATGGTGTGGTCGGGCACGTGCCTGGGTAACAGTTGTTACTGCTGGTTCTCCACGAGCATTTCTCTGTATGAAGGGAAAGTAACTATAGTCAGTTTATTTCAACTTTGTTACATAAGAAGTATGGACAGGGGAACACGACCAGGTCTTTCTCATATAGACCAATCCCATAACCCCATGCACCTGCGTTAAAATATGGAAATGCAAAATAAAAACATTAATCATGCAAGTACTTGACGGATAGGCAGCAACTCAATCATTTGTCAAACGCTAATTAATTGCCATTTTCTCCTTGGTTGGATTGCTTGATAAGTCAATTTGTGACAGGCAGTCGGGATCTACTGGTCAAAAGTACTAGTACCAAAAGTACTGATTGAATGTTGAGTGAATGCTTGTACTGATGTAGTCTCTTTGATGGGGTCCTGCATGCCCTTTTCCATAGAACGTAATCAGCCGTTTTAATTCTACATAGACTGTACATGTCTGATGGTCCGCTCTGATTCAACGTACAGCGTAATTGGTGCATTTTGTTCAGAGCGTAATTCACTGTTTTAATTCAGATCTACATATTGTAAAACGTAATGGGGAGGCTTCTTGAATTCAGCTGAATACATAGCTGGCTCTCGACATTTAGTGCAGAGCGTTATCGGGACCCCTCCATGCAGACCATTTTTTATTCCTCCCACCTCTTCAGTGTCTAGAACTTTAACTTTGACCAATGAATAAATAGTATTGGTGTCTTACCCCTGCAGGATGTGCCGAGATTGTCGTATGCCTTGCCACTGCTCCCGTATTCCCCACTGCATCTGTGACATCGCTGGTCACTGTTGGTGGTGCATCTTGTATCAACGCAGTTTGGTATGTTGGTGCATTCTAGAAAAAAACACTTTATCAGTATATAATGTGTGTTTGTTTGTGTGTGTGTGTACACTTCGTGTCATGTCACTTCATGATAGAAAAGGCATCTCAGTCCAATTTTGAAAATCATAAACATGTACAGTAGTTCTATGCATATGCGCGACTGTATTGCTTAATTTTCCTCCTAGTTAAAACGGCTTGTAGCCACTAAAATTTCGTGCCAATGAATGAATGGAGGAGTGAATGAACGAATGAATGAATTAATAGATGAATGAAAGAAAGAATGACAAGTAACAGATCTACGCACGGTCGCATCTCGGTGAATAGTAGCCATCGTTACAGTTGGCGCAGTAGTCCGGGCTCGCACAGTTTCCTCCATTGGGACAGGTTGTTATGCCGTGACACACAGCTGGAATAGAAGGATTCACATTTACTTCTCCATGGTACCGTCGGTAGTGTTTACCTTGGGATTTGTTTGTTTGTTTATTTGTTTATTTGAATTTACCACAAGATATACAAGTGGAAGGGAGGACAAAACAGGTGCATTGACACCTTTACAAGATGTCCTCCCAAACACAACATACAGAATATAAAAACAGATTACATTATTAAATACAAACCAAATTGCAGTAATGAACAACATTAACATCAAATATTGTACATCAACATCAAGTATAATACATTAAACATAAAAAAACTGTACAATGCAATTTCAAGGTATATACACATGTAATACATTATTTACAAAAATATCAATGATTAATCCTTTGCTCACAAGGACCTCTGCAGTTCTGGAAAAAGCTACTAGAGGGCCCAAAGTACTGTGACCCAAAAATCACAACCTGAGGGCAGGCCCAGAAGACATGATACAAGAACTCCCTTGGCAATGCATTCATCGACCCTCGCATTGGTGGCATTTTAGAGTGGGTGTTTCAAAATGTGCCAAATATTATTGAGTGAGTGAGTGAGTGACAACCTTTATTGCACATTTTTGCCACACTGTACTAAGTACAAGTCAAAACAAAACATGACGGAAAGACAAAATAAAACTAGCTATCATTACATAAATTCAACTTCTCACTTTTCAGTTATAGTAGAGATAAAGGAACAGTCAGATATGTTTTTCGATTGCAGGTTTGTCAAGTCGCATTAGGAATATGAATTTTTCTACAAGTGTATGAAGTAAGGAAATAGGTTTTGTACAAGCCCATACAGATCATTTCTTTCTTTAATATATAATCTACATTCTATAACAAAGTGACATTCGTCCTCTATTCTATTCAAATTTCAACATGTACATAACCTTTGTTCCAGAGGGGTGCGGGTATGTCTTCCAGTTTCAATTTGTAGTTTGTGGCAGCAGTTAATTAAGCAGCCTCCATTCCTGGTCACGAGGCATTGCCCAAAATGCATAATGACTGTTCGAAATTTCCCTCTCCATTTCTCTCTTTTCTCTCTCTCTCTCTCTATCCATCTATCTATCTATATATATATACATATATATAGTTATAATGGATATAGTTATAATCAACTTACGTATACATCCTCCTCCACTTGCAGTGTACCCCGGACAACAGAAATAATCGGCGCCGTAACAGGTAGTGTCCCGAACCGCGTATCGATATCTAAAACAATATTCAAAATTCTGGAAAGGTTTCCAAACTTCACAAAACTCTGGTAGAAACAAGATAAAAATAACAATGGCCAAATGCTAAAGACTACCAAATTATTGTTATATTATTGCTTACATTAGTTCAAAATTTCCTACCAAGGCATACTGGTTACATTGTTTTGATAGTTACCGTTCACATGCCTCTTACTAAAACAAGTGTAATATATAAAATCACAGAGTTTAAAAACTATCATTGATGTCTGTTCACAGATTACCTTGTGCAAGTAGATCCTCCCCAAATTCCACAGCTGGTGTAGTATCTCTGGCTGTAGCCTTCTGTACAGCCCCAAGAGGTCTGACGACTACACACATTCGGCCTGGAGAAGAGACATAGGTAAGACAGATTGTACTTAATTGTACACTATTAACTAAGGATGTGTACCTAAATGTAACATCAGGTACAGGTACAGGTACGGGTACAGAGGTGTAGGTACCTGTACCAGTACCCGAACAATTTGACAAATTAACATATGTCCTTCTGAACAGTAATAAACTTAACAGAATCTTTATTCAGATAAAACAGGACAGAACTATAGGCGGCATTATGCTGCAGACAATAAGCTGTTCTTGAAAGATCTGTTGTACTAGTATATCAGTCATGCTCCTTCGAGTTACTCTGGTCACCTCTGTGCGGTATGTACCGGTACTGTTATGGTATTTTGGACCTGTACCTAGTTGATTTTTATCATAATAATATATAAATAATAATGGTTTATTCAATTATTAACATATATACAATACATACGGACAGTCCCACCTGGCAGCCAGAGGCTGAATTGCATGGGAGCTGTTTCCATGAGTTTCATTAAAACAATATCTAAACCATTATCTCAACCATATTTAAAAACATTTACGAACAGGATAAAATTGACGGAGCATAAAAACATTCTTAAGCAGATTAAAATGAAAAGGTCAAATTATTTTACAGGTTCAGCAACCCAAGGATGTTAAATTTAACCTCCTTGAGCAATCGTACCATGTGTGGTATTGCACTGTTGTGGTATCTTACAGTTCTACAGTAAATACTGTTCAGTTTGTGGGATGGTCGAGTTTTCCTGCCACTTATTTCCTCTCGTGAAGGTGGCAGGAGCGTGTCTGTACTGTTCAGATTGTTCTAGGGACCTGGCGAATTTAACGGTCAGTTCTTCGCGGCGTTCTTTAAGGGTTGGGAGGGCAAGTTGTTCACACGCTTTTGAGTAAGAAATGAAGTCTTTCCCGAGGATGATTCTCAGTGCCCGGCGTTGCACTTTCTCGAGTTTGTTGCAGAGGAGAGTAGAAAGTCCGGAGTGCCACACGGTAGCAGCGTATTCCGTGACTGGATGGATGTAGTTTTGCGGTACAGTGTACCGGTACCCAGAACCAGTACACAGCCCTACTACATTTGTACTAACTTCATCAGATACTGTGCAAATATGGCGTAATATGTACCTTCATATTCATCAATCAGAGTCAAATGCCCATTTGCACTAGACCTACAGCATCAGCTATGGCTATCAGATATTGCCCCAAAATAGATGAAATAAATACCGGCATACGCAAAAAATGACTTACCCTGATAAAGCTGTGCTGCATCGGACCAATAGAGCAAGTACAAGTAAGAACGTTGTACCTCCCTTCCAACACTGCACATCCAGCCACATTTTCAACACTGGAAGTGGAAAGGTATTCCGATTTCAGCAAAACGAGAAAATCTATCCAGCAATGTTCATTCCAGCAACAACATTGAAAAAAGGTTTTATTGTAGATAAAAAAGTCTTGGATTTTTTACTATTCTGTCTCACTTGTGCCAAATGCAGTCTGCTATTTCTAGTTGTGTTGAAGCTGCCCATGTTTAGTTTACAAACATGAAAACTTACTACATACTAAATCTTACTGTATGTTGGGCAAATAGTTGGCCTGCTAATGTTGCTACCATGGATATCCATCAGATGAGACCAAAGTTCAGGCCAACAGGCTTAACACAATTTTCTTCTTTAAAATCCTTTTCAAGTCAAGCTTCAAGTTATTCATTTTACCAGGGAATATCTCAGATCCATTGATATGTTTTTCAGGTGTCCCTGGAGACACACATTAAAAAATTACATTCATAAAAATTACAAGTTGAATACAACAATATACAAATGATGTTACAGACATGTATATGTACAAAGCAGTCGCAATATAGGCACATTTAGTTCATTCATTTTCCAGGTTATGCCCAGTATGCATTTGCCAGTGATTACAACCTCCAGATGTTTTGCTAATTGAAGTGTTTTCCTCAAGAAGCCTCTAGCAACAGCTAGAAGACATACCAGTCTGGCAGGTTATACAGTGAGCCAGTAACCTTTAACCTTTAACATCTCATATAAAAGAATGATTAGAATGTACCTCATCTAAGATTATTCAGCCACCAGATTAACATACTCTGTAATTGATCATCAATTGCTATATGGGATCTGTACAGTCAATAGCACCTGATTACTTAACATTGTGTGTAGCCTGGGTGGCAGACTGTCCCAGGACCTCACGCCATAGGGCCAAGATGTTGCCAAACTCAGGGTCTAAACCAAGGACTGGCCCTGGAAACAGTCTGGCATCCAGGCTACATTATACTACTACATATTTTGGGCGTTTGGGGGCTTTTCTTGTGTCAGGATTTCTTTTTTGCAGGTATCTTTTGGATATCACCTGAGTTGGCATAAAGAAAAGATACCAGTGCAAGAAAGAAAGCCTGATAAAAAAATGCCTAAAAACACGGTAATGACATGCTTGGATAGTTCAGGGATGATGGTTTACTTCGTGGGCAGTGTGTGTGTGTGTGTGTGTGTGTGTGTGTGCGTGCGTGTGTGTGCGTGTGTGTGCCCTCAAAACCATCCCCAGTTTAGTTCAGGGACAGATGATGATGATGATGGATGGATCACACACATCACCATGGTAACAGAATGGTAGTTTGAGGTGTAAGTTACGGTTTCTGCCAGCCATGTTAATAATTCTTGAAAGTTACGCCCCTATGCTAAGTTTTTGGTAATGACACATGTCTATTGCGTATGTTACGATTATACACATCCCTATAGATCTTGATATTTTTTTTAATCTAATAATGTAATCCAAACCACGGTGCTCTTCTGGTTAGGGTTGCAGACGTAGAATTAAAATGTTCTTGTTTCAAATGCATGAAGCAGGCCTCTCCGTTGTGACTTTCGGAAAGGCCTACTAGTATTTCCAATTCCTCACTCGACTCAGGTAGATACGAGTACCTCGGATAGGACGCAAAGCCGGCGGTCCCTGTTTAAGAAGAGGAACTTTAAAAATCCCACTACACTATTCGGAAAGAGTGTGTGAAAAATACAACCCCTTACAGTCCGGTCTTACGTAACGCGTACCTACTGTACAAAACTGGTGAAACAAACAGTTCTCTTTCACAGGTGCTAGTGTTGATTGAGGCGTGACAATGGTGTCAGTTGAATGCAAAAGATTTCATCGGGAGATTGTTTTTGTTAAATCTGGGTGGCACGGTTTTGCTGCCATTTATATATTTTGCCATTATAAGACAAAGTATTCTTATAACGACGAAGAATATCTTAAGTTAGCAAATGTACGTCACAGATCCAAAATTACAAAACTAAGAATCAGTTGCCACAATAATTGCGAATCGAATCAGGAAGACATAATCACACTCCTCTAGAGCAAAGAAACTGCCAATTTTGTAGTCTAGGTAGAGTAGAAGACGACGCGCATTTTACCGTAGATTGTCCTTTATATGACAGTGATAGAAGCATACTTTTCAGTCATGTTTCAAGTAAATTTCCCCACTTCAGATACTTTTTTCAGAAAAATTTTGATTCCTGTTAGCCTCTGAAAAAAAGTTTAACTTCTCATACAGCCTCATACATAGTATTTTAAATTAGTACTGCAGCTGTAAACACATTTTTTCTGATCAAAATCCGATTTGAAGTCTAACTTACTGCTGTGTGACCCACAATGGAAGGCTTGTAATGTTTCTCCGAATTTGTCTCATGTTTACGCTATCGGCTACCACTTACGAGTTTAAGACATGTAAAGAAGTCAACAGGTTTCCAAAAACCCGATTTAATGCGGCATTATAAGTGATTGAGCCGACATTCATCGTATTGATGGTTATACCAGGCTCACTTACATGTAATACAGTTTAGAAAAAAGTCTAACTTACTGACTTGCGACTCACCACATAAGATTAAATGTTTGGTAGAAGTTGAAGACATCAACACTGCAGCTTATATGTGTGGGCCCAGGCACGGGTTAGGTACAAATGCATATTGTTGGCAAGCGCAAAAGTTTCGTTTGGATAACGATTTATTTTTGCATTTTTTTAAATTTTTTCAACTTTCCCTTACCGCTCTAGGACGCTACCTCCACTAACTATCATGCCTGTTTTAGTCGATTTCATTACACAAGCCTTATTGCCATTATCAGAAATAAAAGCGTTTAGTAGTACAAATGTAGTGATGAAGTTTTGGGTGCCAGCCAAGATTTTGGAGTTATGGAGGATGAATACAGTGGGCCTCCTCGGAGAAATAGAGATTTGGGCTTTTTTGGAAAGTGTGAGAAATGAACTGTGTGAGGTAAATAGATTTAGGCAAGAGACAAAACAATGAACACCGAACTTGTACGTAGCACACATATATACGTGGTGACTAAACACTAAAGATACAGAAATGCCGATATTTTTCGAAGGAAAGGTAAGATTTACCTTTTGGGCGCACCTGGCCCAGGCCGGCAGGTTGTGACGTATCTTATGGAACTGCGACACCGGCCCTCCGGTTGGCACGCCGTGTTGTCCGCCCGAAATGACCAACCGAACCCTCTGACCAACACACCCTCAGAATACTGACCAGTGAACGAAGTTCCAACCTTTGTCCTGCGGGAGTCGGTCAAAAAGAGGGTAAACACTAAAAGTGGAATAGACAATCCAACTTATTTCTGTAACAACAATGCGAAAACCTACTTAAGCGATACTTGTTGTCTTCTATGATTGTATCTGTCAGGATTGACCTCGTTTTGAGAGGCACCCAATTATATGACATTTGCATATTTCGCAACAGGTGCCTCCCAAAAAAAGAGGAAAAACTGGTTATATTTCTTGAAGCATGCGCATTAAAAAACTCTTGAATAACAACCTGAGATATGGCGATTGCGACTGTTTAGGAGAAACGCGGACAGCAAAATGGAAGCCAGATTTCGCGTGTTGGCTTCTGTACTGTTGTTTGTAGTTGGTTGTTCTGGACTAGTTGACTTCAAGCCGGGGAATCAGTACCAGTACAAGTACGACGCCTCCACAACACTAAAGCACACAGGTGTCGTACTCACGTCTGCAAAGGTAGGGCACAATTGTTTGTCAGACAATTATCTTTGCTTGCTGGCATTGTGAATATCAGCATGTTTCTACTGTATTGTCTACTTATTAGTGTTAACTTATAGCTAGAAAACGTCATTTCAACAGCTAAACAGACTTGTACAATTAACGATCGTTGGTGAAAAATGCGTGGCAAAAGTTGACTCTTCGTGCAAAGTAGAAGAGGACGAGTGAGTGAGTGCGTGATTGAGTGAGTGAGAAACTATGAATCCACAAATCTACCCACTTCAAACTATAGATTAAAATGATTAGCGCACGCGTTTTAAAACAATTTGTACAATTTAGATAGGATCGCATTGTTGAAACTAGATGCTACTTCATGTTTAACATTTACCACACATACTAAAAAGTAACAAAAGATTTGATTTTGATGGGTCGCATGTAGATTGTCACTTTATGAATTGCATTGTATTACAGATCATTGTACAGCTCATTTATTACTCTTTACAATGGTGTTCCATATGTTATGAGTAGTTATGAGTTTGGTATGTACATGGTTTGAGCGCCAGGTTTGCTTGTGAAAAAAAGCACCTGTAGCAAGGGAAGCTTGCCTAGCGCCTGTACATAACTTCTTCACACATCCTTAGTGTTTTTAAATGACGGGCATTGTAATTCATACCATTGGAAAGCTTGTTTATTGCTTTTGTCATGATCACGCTTGTGTGCGAAGAACACCATGGTTGATCTCGTGGGCGGGTCGCTCAAAAAACAACACAGAGGTTTTCCTACCAATGTCAAACGTGTTGACAGCAGGGAAATTTAGTCACCCCTCTTTAGATCTGTCGGCCCACAAACATACTAAAAAGGAGTAATCGGATAATCCCTGGTTCTAGGTTCATACTCATAGTAAGGAAATGATCATTAATAAAGGGTAATATATGACTACACTTTCTATTGAATATACAACACAAATGAATGAAGTAACAACGGAAATATATGGTGTAAAGTTAAGTTCCTGTTTTTTTAAAGCTTATCCCTTCTGTTTCTTTTGCTTCTCACATTTTGGCCAGACACATTTACAAAAGGAGTTGTTATGTTGTCTTCCTTTTTTTTTACCAAATTACGATCTAATTTCATAGACAATCATCGCTGTTCATTACTTTGTCTTTCTGTCAGATGTTTGATAGACAATTTGTTGATGGTTGGATTGTTTACGAGCCCCAACTCCATTAAACAACAACCGGACTATCACATTGCATGAAGAAATGAAAGAAAAGAAGTAGTCTGGACAAATTAAGTTTCAGCCTTTGTCACACAAAGCCTCGGCCGACCATGGCCTCCCAAACATTTTTTTATTCCAACATGTAATCACAAGACGTGGTGAGTTATATCAATGTCGCCACCAACACATGGGACAATACAATACTGATTTTCACCTGAGCGAAGTGAGGTAAGTAGTGGCACAAGATCGGTAGCATGTCTGGACTCGAACCCGGGACCTCTTGGTTCCGAGTCGAGCACTCTTCAGACCATGGTTGAAATCCGTCCGTAGGGTGGGAGTTGGTCTGCGAGGTTGGCGACTGGTCGGTTGCGCCAGCTAAATGTTTCACAATGTTTTGAAAAGTCTGGAATGGTCGGAAGGTCGTGGACATGTCTGGCAGGGATCGTTAATGGGTTGGGAGGAGGTCATCAGTAGTTGGAACGTGCTCGAGTTGGGACTCAAATTTGGATATCGACGACTCGCCCCAGATTCTTGGACGGATCCATCCCGAGTCCCTTCCAACCGAGGCGACTATGGTGGCGTCTGACGTCAGACATTTATGGCCCACATGGCTTATGACGTCACACATCTATAGCACCACTGACTATAAGACGTCAGACGTGTCCCCCATGGCTTATGACGTCGACAATTTATGGCCCCGCGGCACATGACGTCAGAAAGAATTGCCACTCCGGCTCTGGCTGTATCCCGGATAAACAGTTGTTTGTCAACATCATTCATCCTCCATCAGTCATCTGTCTATAAGTATTGGTTTGCCTGAAAGACCATGTACAGCACGATTTTTTTTCATCATTTCCAACATGTAATCACAAGACGTGGTGACGGCACACTCAAGTTTTTTTAAACTTATATTAATGCTGCCACCAACACAGGGGACAATACAATACTCATTTTCACCTGAGCGAAGTGAGGAAAGTCGTGTAAAGTGCCTTTCCCAAGGGCACAAGATCGGTGGCATGTCAGGACTCGAACTCGGGACCTCTGCCGCTACGCCACACGACCCCACAATTACGATTGCTCCATCTTTTTTTTTTGGGGGGGGGGCAGACAGAACGATTTCACGCCTCTTCGCACGACACGATGGGTAACAGAAATATTATTAAATTGTGTGAAATTCGACAAAAGTAATCTCTAGCATGGGCTTGCTTTATTTGTTTTGTGTTTTTTTTGTGTGTGTGCATTGAATAATTATACGGCCACGCACGCTGAAAAGTTGAATGTAGCAAAATATATCAACCGTTTCTTCTGCCAGTAATACGCTCCTAACTAATATTTTTTCTTCGTGTTACGTAAGTTGGCATGACACAAATTACTGTATTTGATAAACTTAAAATCCATCAATAGGTCTCATACTATCAAATCAACATCCAACCAACAACCGTTGGTCACTGAACTAGTATGCCTGACGGGCCAGCGTAGCCTTGTGCCTTCTTGGAAAGGCTAGACCCTGGATCTGCAAATGTACAAAGGGGAAGGGCAGCCTTACCCAATTTACGGCTGGATAATTGTGATTGACCGAAAAGTGGCTGTCGTAATTATAGAAACATGCAATCAGCCTTGAAACTGGGTCACTGAACGCCGGTGACTGGCGGGACGACGTGTGTTGCGTGACTCTCCTGTCTTCTGAGGCTTCTCGGAAAGGGTAGCGCCTGGAGCTCCTGACGGAACAAAAGGGAAAAGATTGATGTTTGAAACGCATTTTTTCACAGTGGCTAGAGGAATCACACGGAACAAAGAGGTAATTACAGGGCTCGGGGTATGATTTTCTGCATGATCAGACGTATGACAAAGCTGTGGTTGCCCTACGGCCTACTGAGACCTTTAGATCTGCTACGAACATCTCTTTAGCATCTTTCTTGCATCACCGATTGTGATCGCCAGGGGTCGCTGATGCATGGATGGCGTTGTGCGGCGTTCCTTTATAAAAGTGTAAACGTGCGGGAGCGCATGTAGAGACACGTTTTGAGTCCTTCATGCAAAAATGTTTTGTTTCTTCACAAACAGGTCTACATCAATGTGCTAGGAGGTGACAAGTGGAATCGACATTGCCAGCTGGAAGTTAAGAACTTCCTTCACGCCCTTAAGAACCACCCAGGCAAGTGACATGTCCCACGTTCGAGTGGTGAAAATGTCCCACTCTTGAAACGTGGTTCACGAATCATTTTAAAGGGACACAAGAGGTTCGATAAAATCTGTCATCATGCCATGCATGCTATCACAATGTATGAAAGGTGATATCTACACTTAGTTCGTCAGTACATCGTAGTTTAGCGCGCTGCCGGCCGTTTGAAGTTGCGGCTAGAGCCTAGTGTTAACATATTGGCCATTTCCCGCCCCCGCCTTCGCAATGACATAATGGCAAAGTTCTTAAGAACTAGGTCAACGTTCGTGCGATCTCGGTACTTTCTATACTTTGGGGGAGGCTGCCTACGGATTAGGCCGTGTTGATTTGATTATATGGATGACATCCTCCGGGAACCCCAAAACTGATGCAAGCGTGCAAATAAAAAAAAAGTTTGGCAAAAAATGTTGGTTTCATTATGAAATCTACATGGTCAAGAAGGTTGAACAAATAACATAAGAGTATGGTATGGCGAATGATATACTCTTCAAATTAATTTCTTTACATTTTCGTCTTTTTTGTTTAATTTTGGCATTCTACAACATTGGTATCGTTATCCAATATTTTTTTTTAAACTTTATGACCAGGTATATATTTGGTCATTTTGCAACTGTTTTGTACGATTTCCATTATGGTTGAAAATTTTTTTTGGAAATGGCCAAAAATTCATACGTGCACGGATGTCATCCATATACAATCAAATCAACATGGCCCTGCGAAGACTAAAAAGGCCTGATTACGCCTTACGAAAAAGGACAAGCAGGCCCCCATAGAATGTTGTTATGTGCATTTAATTTAGTTTATGTGATAGTGCAATAGGGCTTAAGTCAGAATGCAGAAGTTTAAGCTGCAAAAGGATAACCTAGAAACATTTCATCAAAAGTTAGAAATATTTCAATCATCAAAGTTCATATGCCAGTCCATAATCAGTCTGCATGTTGCTAAGTATTTGCACAATCTAAGTGGAAATGTCTAACATTTTTTTGTTTCCTTCTTCATGATCAGCAAACCATAAGGACCAGGAGGACCTTTCAAAATGGTATGCAATTTTTAAAGTTTCAATCTGTCGTTTGCTAAGTGGGAAGCTCAATTTCTTGCAAGAAATAAGTCCTACTTTACAAATAAACTTTCCCCTTATTGTAGATAAAATTTTCATCATCCCAGGGCTCGAAATTTACTTTGGGAATAGGTGCATTGGTGTAGTGCACTGGTGCACCTAGCTCAAAAAATTGGGTGCACCATATGAAATAATTTTATAACAATGACCTTTACAACAAATTATTATTCTGGCATCTGCATGTAGATGTCAAGAATATACTGTATACTAGTATCCATTAGATATCTTTACATACATAAACCTTAAAAAAATGGGCGCACTGGTGCACTCATTGAAAAAAAAAACTGGGTGCACTTATTGAAAAAAAAAACTGGGTGCACTAAGGTGCACATTCACCTGGTATATTGAACCCTGATCATTCTGTAAGCTGTAGGAATGTATTAATCTTTTTTATTTAATCCTGACAATCCTATAGGTTCAGTTTTAACGTGTCCAACAGTGGAGAAATCCTTGAGGTGCAGTACCCAGAGAATGACAAGTCGTCTGCTGTCTTACAGAAGAAAGCACTTCTTGGCACGTTTTCTTCACGGCTGCATGCCTCGCTTCAGGTAATGTCCCTCTATCTGTAGCTAGTTTAACTTTTTACCTTCGCCAAGAAGGTTATGTTTTCAGTAGCGTTTGTGTGTGTGTGTGTTTATGTGTGTGTGTGTTTATATGTGTGTGTGTTTGTGTGTGGTTTAACAAGATTACTCGAAAAGCAGTGGATGGATTGAAATGAAACTTGGTAGGTGGGTAGGTCTTCATGAGACTTAGAAATGATTAGATTTTGAGCCCACTGGCGGCTTTCCTAGGTACTGCAGCTGAACTTCCGGTTTTGATATCTCATGTTCTGGACATGCTAGGGTCACGAATTTTTTACATGTGTGTACAGTTCATTGTTACTAACCATGATGAGCCTTACAGCCTTAACTTAGGAATATTCAACTTCAAACTATTGACTTAAAGTACATTACTAGTATACACGATATTTAATTATACAAGAAATCAACGGTACAGTTAAGCTGTTATTGCTTAGTATAAAATACTGAATCTGATTCACATCTCAGAGATGTAGATCTTTAAAACATAGTTGTTTCTTCCTGTTGGTCATTTAGCTTCAAAAAGGTCCCAAGTTATGTACAAATTATGCCATGTGTTGTATGCTTTCTGTAACAGCTCTTTAATACTTAGTAACTGAATTAGATATTCTGTAATTACAATGCAAGGCTACGTTCTGTATTTTTTGTATCTCTTCATCAAGCTTGTGTTTTTTAGCCATATATCATAGGCAAACTTTTTTTTATAAAGCTGATAGTAAATACTGATTATTAGTGTACAGTTGTACTAACTTTTCCTTATAGCTGACCCTATCCCAAGCCTTCACATTTCAATCATTATGGTAAAATAAACTTCTTTGTATAATGTGTAGGATATCAATCATGACAAGGACCGGAAATGGCGCTATGTCGTCAACGAGACGGGACATGAAGGTACGTTAATGATTATGATATTACTTAGTAATGATAATAAACTGTGTTCCATCTGTTTGTACACTTAAGTGATATGCAGACTAAGACATATCCAAATTTAAGATGCATTTAGACAGTTAAACTTTTGAGTACAAAACAGGCTATTTTTTCATTTCCATCATTGCAAAGAAACTTGAATTCATATGCATTGGAGATCTCTTTAGATACATTTGCCCAGAATTCTATGTTAGATCTTATGAAAGGTTTTGTATCTTCAATTTCAATTTTTCATGATTTTGTGTACTATGGCATTGATATGAACTGTCTATACTACCAGTACCATTGTCTGTTTGACCCTTTGATGCCCTGTTTGGAACTTTTGTAATAATAGTACTTTTTTGTACTATTACAGTATGAATAGGTTGCTCAGTATTGTTGTATGCGTGATTGTGCATATGTAGGTGTCCATGAAGCGGAGTATGAAGGGAAGAACACTGGGGAGGCACTCATCTTCAAGCGCACCAAATCCTCACATATCGTGACCAACGCTGAGACATCACACCAAAAGGTTCTCACAAAACATTTGCTTCATTTTGTATGGTATAGCCCCGTGTTCCAACTAACCCCATCTCCAGACACCCTACCCAGTTTCTTTCAATGTTGACGCCACACCAATTTAGTTTGTTGGTTCATGAATTTGTCCTCTTGTTTTTTTTTCTGATTTCCCACAAAAAACTCCAAAGTTGATTCAGAGCCCCAAAAATAGGCCCCCAAAATTGAAGGAAGTCCCTCCTCTTCAGAGTTGTTACAGTTTTTCCATCTATCAATGCAGCGGTTTGATTAAATGTTTCAAATTCATTATTTGAAGTACAAACCAGCCTGGTATATTGTCTTGAGTTCATGGCTATTTGGGGCTATGATAGGATGCCTATTTTTTTCCCCTGTTTCTTAGTATTTTTCTGAAGATTTTTAAAATTGATTAGTACATAAAAATCCAAGAGCAAACGCATGAAGTTGTTGTGGCCTTAACATTGAAAGAATGTCCGAACATACGGGTGGGTTAGGATTAGGGGGTGTTGGAACATACAACTGTTTTTACTGTTTCTTCTTTTTTACATACTTAGGAGTTATGGAACATTAGGTGTATGATTGTGATTTGATTTGATTTATTGAGATGCCCTTTAGCCCCATGTGTAACTGTTTGTATTCGTTGTCACTTGGCAACTTTTCAGGCTGGGGTAATTATGACATCTACCCCCAAGGTAGTCAGATGAATACGTCAATGATGCTTATTAAATGCATTCCAATGGAGTCACACATAATTGTAACTGGACAGGTCAGGGATGAGAAATTAGGACAATCGTGTTACTGGTAGTGTTAGTTGAAAAAAAAAGGTTTCCTTAAATAGGTAATGGTTATGTGCCAAACAAAGCAGTCAGAAAACGATAAAACAGACAAGCCAAGCCAGTTGGTACAATCAAGGAGGTTTAAAAAGAGATGGTAGGATGAAAGCACATCAGATGGTTAAGTGATACCTATTGTCTTTCTGAACCCCCCTAGGCTGTCTTACTTCCACCAAGATAATTACTGTTGTTATGGTAATTATCTAACACCTGGTGCCAGTGTGCCTGTAGGCTGTGTTCCTATGAATAAAGTCTTATGTGATGGTTCTAGAAGCTTAGAGTGCAGACAAGTGGCAGGACTACATGCATGCATTACCTGCAGTGCATGTAAAAAACACTAGGTGGAGCAAGTAAAAGGCCATGCCTCTATGACCTTTAATTTTTACAGGAACAGTAACTGTTGAAAGATACTGCCTTGCAATAATATATATGTGTGTGTATGTGTGTGTGTGTGTATGTGTGTGTGTGTGTGTGTGTGTGTGTGTGTGTGTGTGTGTGTGTATGTGTGTGTGTGTGTGTGTGTGTATAGAATAAATCACATTACCAGGGTGATTTGAGCTTTATTTGTATCAGAAGTCTGATTTTGGGACAACTTAAGTTCTAACTGTTCCAATGGTACAATTTATGGATTGGTGTAGTGTGGACAGTCAAGGCAAATTTTGAGGTTGCCTAATTTTATTTTGATTTGTATTGCAGGAAATCTGGTACCACAAGGGGAAGCAAGTTCCTACTAAAATCCTTGTAGATGAAAAATTCACAGCTCCAAGAAAGGTTCACCCTGAGTAAGTACAATCCAACTGTTGTATAAGGAATGACATTTGACACTACATTTTATTTGTAACATACAGTTTTTACAAATTTTATAAGCCTTGATTATAGATAATAAATGGTGGACTTCAGAAACAATTTCTAAAATAGGAATCTGTCCTTGGTGCTGAACACCATCCACACACAGGCAAACACACCTGTCCTTGTTGCTGAATGACACACACACACACACACACACACACACACACACACACACAGGCAAATATGCCAGCCCTTGGTGCTGAACACCATCCAAACACAGGCAAACATATCTGTCCTTGGTGCTGAACACCATCCACACACAAGCAAAGATGTCTGTCTCTGGTGCTGAACACCATCCAAACACAGGCAAACATATCTGTCCTTGGTGCTGAACACCATCCACACACAAGCAAAGATGTCTGTCTCTGGTGCTGAATACAAATGTACTATCCACATACAGGCAAACATACCTATCCCAGGTGCTGAATGCCATCCACACACAGGCAAACATGCTATCAGTGAGATGTGAATCCAGTCTAAATTACTTTCATTACTAGTATCTTTACAGTAAAACTAAATGAATAAGTTACAATTTTTGCTTTTGTTTTGAACCAGATATGAACCCGTACCATCGATTCCAGTTGGGTTTGGTCAAAGCCACATGTACGAGAGTGATGACAACTTTGGTGAGTTCAGCACTTTTTGACTCATGTCTTCTTTGTGTACAATCTCTGTTGCATTTCTACAAAAGTATCAAGAGTGAGATTGAAGGTTTGGCAGTCCTGTATTGGAAGACTATATGGAGGAATTAAACAGTTGCTTTTTGTTGTGGTGTAGATGTCTATAATGCTTGTTACTGTGGTCTATGTTTCTAATACTTTGAAGAACTCTGTGCCAAATAGCAATTCAGGGGTTATCAGAATCATGAGAAGTAGACCACAGCTGTTAGAATTCTGTACAAAAAAACACTGTTTCTTCTGTGGGTTCCAGACCTACCAGAGATGCACACATTCTCAAGTGGGAAAATGGAGCTGACTGATGTCGTCCCCATTTCGGTCGAAGACCGGCGTTTCCAACTGCCTGACAACTTGGTGACAGGCAGCCTCCATATTGATGAGGTAGGAGAATCAACTCCATTTACATGTACTTTAAAGGCATCCAATGTGATTTCAGGGCAGCAAAATATTGTGAATAAGTCAATCTTTCTGATATTGACACATACTGCTACACATTAGCACTTTTGATACTTTGATGTGAACTGCAGAAACAAGCCCCTAGATGTAGTGGTGCATACCTAAACCCAATTTTAGGTTCAGGTCCGGATTCAAGTCCAGAGGTTTAGGTTCAGGTCCGGACTTGTAAGTCCGGACCTAAACCCATGGCATATACAAAATTGCATGTTGGCAACCTTGCAATGTTGTCTGGGTGAAACTTTGGGCACATAACATGGAGGCCGACACTTGATGATGCCCGATGGCAATGTTTTCTTCATTTTGCATCAAAGATGTTACAATCTACGGAAGGTTTTAGGTGGTTTGGAAAGAAAAGGGGTATGTGAAATGGTCTTTTATGGTAATAAGTCCGGACTCGGTTCTTGACTTTTAGGTTTTTTGGGACTTGAACCTAAACATTCTTACAAGTCCGGATCCAAGTCCAGTGAACCAGTATGCATCACTACCTAGATGAGTCCTTTATTTTCTGGGTGGCACCTAAACATCAGCCCAGGGCCTTCGAGTAACCATTGTCCATCAGAATTTTGGGAATTTTTGCTCAGTCAAACATTAGGACAATGTGGTTGCAACTCGCTATGTAGATAAATAACTGGAATATTGGCTTTGAAAATCGGGTTTCCAAGCCTTAAAAACTGCATTGAAGACATTGATGGCTATGTAGTGAATTCATATCAAATTGACATGAGTGCTATATATGTAGTGACAGCTTTATCAGTCTGTAGTTATGAAGAAAAATATTATAAAGAAACCATTCAAAATGGATCATTCAAAATGATAACTTGGTCAGAAAAGTCTAGAAATATTCAAACTAATGAATACAATATAATTGCTGTTTAGCTACCCTGGCCTTGCTAGCCTACCATTTAAATGTAGTACTACATAATGTCATACACTGATAGACTTTCTAGTTGTCATTGTGACATTAGTTTGGTATGTTGTAGGAAGAATGGCTTGTCACTTCATCCAGATTTTAAGCAAATTGCCATATCATTTGTTAACAGCATCAAGACTAATCAAAGTTGGGAAAGATAGATTTTCTGTAATGAATAAGAAGTAATAATGTTATGAGTTGTTTTCACTTGAATTTTGCTTGTCTTTTTTTTCAGTACCCCCATAAAAAGGTCCCACTGGATTCCAAAGTTCAGAAGCAAATCATAGGAAACATCACCTGCATGCGTGAAATTCGTCCACTCTGTGAGTATACATTTTGCAGATAATTCACATGAGGACTTTATATCAATCTGATACCATATGTAAGGCCACACTGACTTAATTTTATGGATGACATCCTCCGAAGATCCCCAAACCAGTGCTACAGGTGAATTAAAAAAAATTCCAGCAAAAAATGCTGCTAAACCACAGGAATACAAAACTGGTATTATGAATTTGTGGTAGTACATAGCGACTTATGACAAGCTGGCACATGCTGGCCTTTTGCGGCATTTATGAGTCGGCACTGCACTGAGCTCTTGAGTTTTCCAATTGAGCATTTTTTTAAAATCCAAGAACCAAGAATTGAATTGGTGTGGCCTAAATAATTCATTGCTGAAAAATATATCTGAGTGCGCCTTTTAACAAGTCAGCCATTGAGACCTTGTTGACATTATGTGTCTACTTTTGTTTCCTAGATGACAGAAGGCGAATGAAGTGCTTCGACGAGCTAGTCCACGTCATCCGCAACCTGGAAGATGAGGATTTCTCGAAGTTAGCAGATGAGTACATCCAGTTTCCCCCCAAAGGACAGAACGGCACGGAGAACAGGGGAGCCATCATCGATGCGTTCGGCGCTTCAGCAGTGGAGGAGGCACAAACCATCCTCACAGAGAGGATTCTGTTACGGGAACCTCTGGATGTGGAGCTCACCAAGAGAGTGTTTTCTCATTTTGTCAACCTGGAGAAACCACCAGCCCAGGTTAGTTACAACATTATCTCACTAATTCACCAAGTGTGTGGGTCTCAGATTTGCAACCTGTTATCCACCTTAAACAAACCCACGCGAAGGCCACCGTGTCAACTGTCACGACTGACACGGTCATCCTACTCGGAAAAATCTGTATCTGTAACTGTTATATCTGTACGTGAATCTGTATCTGTACATGAATCTGTATCTGATTGCAAATAAAGATATTGAGTGATTGCCATAGATAGATCACTAATTCATAGCCTCTTTCGCAGACTTGTAGAGCAGCTGCATATATTTTTTTGGGTGAGTGACGCAAGTTATTCCGCGGAGGGTTGATTTTGCCGGAGAGAGACGGTTTTGCGAAATCATTTTTCCGTGGCGAAACTCGCCAGCAAAATCGTCCCTCCATGGAATAACTTGTGTCACTCACCAAAAAAAGATTAAGCCGTTGCCCTACAAGTCTGCAAAGGAGGCTACTTATTCATAGAATTTTTAGATAATGTAAGATATTGTTATTATCCTTAATCATGAGAATGCTAATGAAAATATTCCCCAGTAAAATCTACAGTTGAACATACTAGTAGTAACTTAAAGAATTGTCTTCAACTTGTGAAGTTTTAAAAATTTCATTCCAAACATAATATAATTCAGTAATAGACAGAGAGAAAGAAAGACTGCTGCATAATTTCATATTAGTCATCTTTATTTTGTTCAGTTTGTGACAGTACAATACATGTGGAATGCAACATGCACCGTATTACACATAGCAAAACAAATTCTGTATAAGCCTCTACAAAACAATTACATGATTGTACAACTGCCGCAAGTAAGGTTCATTTTCCAGTTTTAACATGATCACAGACTTATTTATCTTATTTGTCTTATATCTTTTAATGTACAT